GACTCAGCTTGTTCTCAGACCACATGCGCGTGTTCAGCTCTGACCCATACATCTGACATCAGATGCGGGGTCTGCAGTCACCTCGTCATGCTGCCGGTGGGGGCTGCTCTGAGAGGGTGCCCAGGCCTCTTTTCCACCTGGGTCTCCTCTCTAGAGCACATGACCCCTGGCCTGGGGAACACTGTGAGCTGACATCCCGCACTAACCATTGAGTCTCCACCCCACTCCATCTGGAGTCATGCTGGTGACAGAAGAGACACAGCCTTGAACCAGTTGTTAAAAGTATTGATAATGAACCAACAATAAGTCCAATCCTGGTGGCTCAGATGGTAAAGAATCTGCCTGAGATGCAGGAGACCTTGGTTCAATCCCTGGGTTGGGAGGATCCCCTGGAGAAGGGAATGGGAACCCACTCCAGTATTCTTGCCTGGAGAATCCCATGGACAGAGGAGCCTGGTGGGCTACAATCCATGGCAGGCTACAGACCAAAGTGTCAGACAGGACTGATGTGATTAACACTTTTACTTTCACTTCTTGAATGGCTGCTGTGTGCCAGGCTGTGTGCTAAAGACTTTACACTCGTTGATCATTTGATCTTCACAATAACTCTCTAGGTAGGAGCACCACCATCTCCATTTCATAGATTAGAAGACTGAGGCTTGCAGAGGTTAACTTGTCCAAGGGTACGTGTCCAAGATTTGAATCCAGGTGTTTAACCATAATGCAGTACAACCCAAGGACTTTCAGTACTTATAGGGTCCTCAGAGAACACTGGACCCACACTCAGCCAGCCAGTCAGTTCAGTTGCTCAGTCGTGTCCGACTCTTTGTGACCCATGGACTGTAGCACGCCAGGCTTCACTGTCCGTCACCAACTCCCGGAACTTGCTCAAACCCATGTCTGTCTAGTTGGTGATGCCATCCGACCATCTCATCCTCTGCCATCCCCTTCTCCTCCTGCCTTCAAATCTTTCCCAGCATCAGGGTCTTTTCCAATGAGTCAGTTCTTCTCATCAGGTGGCCGAAGTATTGGAGCTTCAGCTTCAACATCAGTCCTTCCAAAGAATGTTCAGGACTGATTTCCTTTAGGATTGACTGGTTTGATTTCCTTGCAGTCCAAGAGACTCTGAAGAGTCTTCTCCAAGACCACAGTTCAAAAGCATCAATTCCTTGTCAGTCAAAACGTGGTCCACTGGAGAAGGGAATGGCAAACCACTTCAGTATTCTTGCCTTGAGAACCGCATTAACCGTATGGAAAGGACCCACACTAGATTGTGGGAATGAGGCTCAGTGAAGGAGAGGGACTTCCCTCAGTTCACACAATGAGTCCATGGGAGCCTGAAAGGGAATCTCAACCTCCCGACTCCACCTCTATGCTCTTTCCACTCTCCACTCCTGCCTTTGAGAGCACCCAGGGGCTCTGATCCCATGGAGGAGGGAGACAGATTGGGATTCAGGTGATGTGAGCTGAGAAGGCAGCCCTGGCAGACAGAAGGCTGCAGAAACAGGGTGATGGATTCTGGTGCATGGCAGCTGGGATGCTTCATTCACTTGGAAGGGAGTCGCCCATCAGGATTGTTGGTGGGGAGGTGGCGGAGGTTCCTATACGGGAGATACCCTTGAGTCTGCAGGGAGGGGACCCACAACTTTGCCTGGGGAAGGGCTTGAGGTGTCCCCAGGAGAGGCCTGGAGGTGGCTTCTCTCTGTGTCCCAGAATCTTCCTTGGATAATTGGAGTCTTTGGGAGAAGCTGTGGACACATTTTTTTCAGGGAACTAACTCAGACTTTCTCAGGAAGCTGGGGATACCAGGCCTGGTGTCTGTAGGTTCTGCCATCAAGGTCGGAAGAGAGGGTCCTACCTGGACAGCAGGATTCTGCTTCTAGCTAGAGATTTCAAGCTGGAGGTGTGACCTCTGTGTTGCCTACACTGCACCCTACACACCAATCTGACCACTTCTGTGCTGTCCCCCAGGTCACAGACCTTTGTCCTGGCAGAGCAGGGGGACTCTTCAGCAGGGCAGAGTGAGACCTTCCATTGGACAGATGTGTATAATTGAACCCCCAAAACATGGAGCCAGAAAACCAGGGCTAGGACTCCTGATGCCAAGGGGCTCCTCCTGGCTGAAGATCCTTGGGGGTGGGGGTGGCTCAGATGGAACTACTGATTGACAGGGCTCCCTGTGGGCTGAGGCTGAGGACCTGGGACTCCAGTCCTCAGAGTCCAGCCTCTCTCTGGCTACAGGGAGTTTTCTAGCTCCTGGAGGTTCAGCTCAGGTCCCTCTCTGAGCCCTCCAGTCAGGTAGGGTGGGCTCCAAGTGGACATTTCAGACAGAAGGGATTTGACCATTGCTGAACCTGACCCTGTGAGGCCCTTGGGATGCAGAGATGACCTTTGAGGACAGAGGTCCTGAGAATTCAGGCCTTTGAGGGGCAGGCAATGTAGATCAAAGCCTTCATGGAAGAGGTGGCCCCAGGATTGATTTTCAACCTAGTTGGTAAGATACAGAGCCTTTGAAAGAGAAAGATGGAAGAATTGTAATGCTGTACCAGTGATTTGACTGGTGGAGGTGAAGCAGGAAGGGGTGGGCAAAGGTTGGTGACGTAGGCAGGGGCCACTTTAAGGAGAGGCTTTCTTGCCAGGCTCAGAGTTCGATGATGGGAGGGCTTGAAGCAAGAGTGGCTTGGGAAGGCCAGCTTTCAAAAGATTAATCTGGTGAAGTCAGAGGCAGAGAAATCCAACAGACCAATATAAATGCCAGGGAGGTGAGTGTCTGTTAAGAGTTGCCCTTACTTCCGCTGCACCTGGGTGTGTGAATCAGTACATACACCTCTCTGGAGAGAAGTCAGGCAATAAACATCAGGAGTCTTGTCCTCCTTTGACTGTATTTTAAGGAAATCATAAAACATGCAGAAAGAGCTTCAATCACAAAGGTGTCCCTGCAGCAGTAATTATAATGGTGAGATTTTGAAACTTTCTGCCAATAGGATAATTTTATTTTTATTTTTAATTAAAATGTTTATTGGGGTATAGTTGCTTTACAATGTTGTTTTATTTTCTGCAAGGTGGACCAGCCATAGGTATACCTATATCTCCTCATTTTTTGGATTTCTTTCCCATTTAGGTCACCACAAATCACTGAGGAGAGTTCCCTGAGCTATTGAGTAGGTCCTCATTAGTTATCTGTTTTATACATTTCCAACAGGGATTCCCTGGTAGCTCAGCTTGTAAAGAATCTGCCTGCAATGCAGGAGACCCTGGGTCAGGAAGATCTGCTGGAGAAGGGACAGGTTACCCACTCCAGTATCCTGGCCTGGAGAATTCCGTGAACTGTATAGGGGTCACAAAGAATCAGACATGACTACATGACTGAGTGACTTTCACACACATGTGCATTGTAGTGTATACATGTCAATCCCAATCTCCCAATTCACCTGGAGAAAACCGTAATTCCAAAAGATCCATGCAGCCCAATATTTATTGTAGCACTATTTACAATAGCCAGGACATGGAAGCATCAACAGAAGAATGGATAAAGGAGATATGGCACATTTATACAATGGAATATTACCCAGACTTAAAAAAAGGAATGATATTGTGCCATTTGCATAGGAGGGGTATGATGAATTGCTAATAGGATAATTTTAAAGCCAACCATGATGTAGTTTGGGCTTCCCAAGTGTCTCAGTGGTAAAGAATCTGCCTGGCAATGCTGAGGATGGTCGCAAAAGAGTCGGACACGACTGAGCGACTAAACAGCAACAACAATGATGCAGGCTCTCCATAGGAGATTCCAAAGCCATTGGAGTGATATTTACAGAGGTTTCATAGCTTTATGTATTTATTCATGCTTCCACTTGAAGTACACAAAGTGTGATTTGTGCCTCTTTTTTATCTATGATACCTTTCAGAGCCAACCACCATTCATCTATCTGTTGGGAATACAGAGATAAATGACATAATCCCTGCCCACAGAGGGCTGATTTGATCTCAGTTGGCCCCAAGAAAATGTGTATGGAAAAAAGCCTGGAAAGAATGACAAAGAATGGAACCAGCTTTCCCTCAGTTGTGGGATTATAAGGAATCTTTTCCCTTTTCTATGTTGGTTGGAGTTTTCCAAATGTTCCATAAGGAGCTTGTATTACTTTCATAATTATAGAAAAAAGCTTCTCATCAAAAGGCAGGAGACATTGCAATAGCTTAAGGAGACAGGATGGGTTTCTATATTTAGGGAGTATGTGTGTGTGTGTGCGCGCGCGCGTGCTTCATTCATTTATTCATTCAATGAATATTGACTGAGACACACAGTTCTAGGCCTAGGGACACTCCAGTGCACAATACAGAAGCACCTTCCACTGGAGAGTGCCAGTCTGGTGAAATAGGAGAGGGTAAGGAGGAGAGAAGGAGCCAGACCCCCCGCGTTCTGTGACTGATTGAATGTGGGGATGAGACAGGGAGGGGGTCACGGGTGGTTCCCAGGCTTGGTGAGAAGGTGGTGCCTTTGTTGAGGTGGAGACTTGGGCAGAGGGGCAGTCCCAGGACCCACTCTGTGGTTGTGGTGCCGGTGGGCAATCTGATGAACAGATGTCCAGAAGGTGATGTGGATCAAGGACTTAGGAGAGAGGCTGGACTAGAGGCAGAGCTTTCTGGTTGTCTGCAGGGCCATGGGTGACCCTCATGGGTGAGAGTAAGAGCACAGGGCAACCCACGTAAGCATCTGCTCTATGAAGGTGAGCAGGCAAAGGTTAAAAGTTGTCCAGGACCCGCCTTCCCAGGCAGTGGCATCAGGGCTCCTGCTTTGTCATGTATGAAGGTATAAAGAGTCCAGATCTGGGGGTGGCAGGGGTAGGGCAGGGCATGAAGGGCTGGGGGAATCCCTCTGCCCACCCCCTGCTCAGGGAGGGAGCAGCCAGACAGGAGGGGCTGAGGCGGCCACCGTGGCCTCCCCGTATCTGGCCAACAGTGATGGGGTGTCCACTCACCTCTCTCTTTTTCTTCTGCAGGAGAAGGGAGCACGCCATGCACTTCCAGCCTCCTCCAGGAGAAGCAGCGTGAGTGCCCCCCGACTACTCCCTAGGAGTCTCTTCTTCTTGGAAGGGTCCAAGCTCCCTCACCCATTTGGGTGGTAGGGTTTTCACTACCGTGTGGGACCAGAGGGCTGGGGCCACTGTCTGCCCCCGGAGCCTGAGGCTGGAGGGGGCCAGGAGGCGGAGACCAGCAGAGCAGGTGGAACCATGGGAAGCCTCGTGTGGGCTCTGCTTGTGGGCAGAGAGGGTGGGGGGAACAGGAAAGGGGAGCAAACCCTCTGAACCTTTGAGATCGGCTCTTTCGGGTGACTCGACTTCCAGGAACCACAGTGGGTGACACAGTAACCAAGGCGGTGCCTGGGCTCAGGACCCTTAGGTCCCATCACTCGGAGGCCGTATCTGCAGAGTGGGGCTGCCCAGGTGCTTGTGGCCCTTCCAATAATGCAGGCTCCTCCAAGTTTCCTTCTGCCGGTGTTTTCTCAAGAGGCCAAGCACAAGGTTAGACCCAGGAGAGACTTGGTAAAGATGTCCATTTCTGACGCAGCAACCTCAGGGCATCTTTCTTGGAGGTTTGGAATGGACTGGCAGATGTCTTTCCTGTTGACAGTATTGAGTTTTACACGAAGCGGGGGTATGTGTGTGTCTGGGGGAGTCTGGGCTCAGAACTTTCCTTCCTTCTCTCTCCTGCTCTCTTTTGATCTGCGGTTGCAGCTTTATGGGGTTCAGCCCATTCTGCCTACCCTGTCCCCAAGGCCGAAGTCTTTCTTCCTCCAAGTTCTCCCATCCATCAGTCACAGGAGGGGTACCTAGAGCACTAGTTTCCCACGGCCTGTCCCGAGTAGGTGCATCGGTCTCCGAGAAGGTTTCTGTGCACCTAACATCCAGTGGCAGCTCATAGATGAAGCCGCTCGGGGGTTGGGAGGCTTGGGTGTCTCTGAGAGGGGCGCTCCCTCCCCACCCCATCAGGGCTCAGGCCAAAAAGTTCACGGGGCAAGGGGAGGGGCAGTGCAGAGAGTGGGCAGTTCTCTCTCTCTCTCGTGTCCTTACAGGATGTGAGGAACCAAGCCCTGTATGAGGGAGTCTCTGTGTTAAAATGTACCCACAGGATTTTTTTTTTAAACAGCTTCCTTTATTTATTTACTTATGGCTGCACTGGATCTTCATTGCTGCACAGGCTTTTCTCTGGTTGTGGCGAGTGGGGGCTACTCTTCATTGCAGTACATGGGATTCTCATTACAGTGGCTTCTTTTGATTTTTGTGAGCATGGGCTGTAGAGAGCAGGCTCAGTGGTTGTGGCATGTGGTATGTGGGATCTTCCTGGACCAGGGATCGAACCTGTGTCCCCTGAATTGGCAGGCGGATTTTTTATCCACTGTACCACCAGGGAAGTCCCCCCAAGGTTGTTTTTTTAAGATATGTATGCTTCCATGGCTGATTCATGTCAATGTATGGCAAAAAACCACTACAATATTGTAAAATAATTAGCCTCCAACTAATAAAAATAAATGAAAAAAAAAAGGAAGCAAAAAAAAAGATATGTATGCTTATTATTTTATTGACCACACCATATGGCATATGGGATGCTGTTCCCTGGGATTAGTTCCCTGATCAGGGATCAAACTTGTGCCTCCTGCAGTGGAAACATGGGGTTTATAAGCACTGGACTGCCAGGGAAGTCCTTACCCATGGAAATTTGATTTATAGAGGTGACTGAGTGAAGACTAGAGAGATCAGTGCTTTTGACAGAAGGATTTGTTATTTACACTTCTTCAGGGGAGGGACCATGGGGAAGTACCAGGTCGGTCAGGAGGCAGAAGGAGCGTGGGGAGTGCATGGCCCAGAGCCCTGGTTGTGTTTTCCGTAGGAAAGGCACGGCAGGGCAGAGGAAACAGATGACTGGCTGGTCTGAATACTGTCGCAGGCTCTGGGCTACAGCATGGTCTCTAGTTCTAGGGTTCCTGGGCAGGGGGGTGGGTACTGGCTTGGTGGGTGACAGTTAGATAAAGGAGGTGATTGGCAGTAAGGACCCACGATTGGTTGATTTGAATATGAAAGACATATTCTAGGGTGAGCTGTTTATTATCTCTAGGAATTAGCATGGCCCAGGAGGGGCGGTCTCTCCTTGGCCAGCTAGACTCCCCTGGAGATGTCAAAATATCGTAAAATAAAAGCAAAGGATTAATCACATTCATCGGGAATGTGAGAGAGAAACCAAGCCCAGATCGCTCCTGGGCCTCTGGGAGGAAGAAACCACAGCATCCTCAAAGCGAAAAAACACGGCCACCTGCCGTGGGGCTGTCTCCACAACGCCAACCACAGCTCTGTTCTGCACTGACACAAATACACTGATCAGACGTTTGGTGTCTTCTGGACTTGGTTGGAAAAATGTGTGTTTAAGGAGAGGCAAAGCCTTTTTTTTTATACCATGGTTATAGATTTTAGTCAGAATGATATTGCTGAAGGTTGTCATCCACGTCTGCTCCTGAAGCATATTTTTGTTTAGTAAAAAATAACTATAGATGCGTGGAAGAATTTCGGAGCTGAAATGGTCATTGAGGGCGGTAATTCCCAAGCACAAACCCAACATTTTTGACAATGAGACAAAATGATGGTTCTGTAATGTGTTTTATTGTGATGTTGAACCCATTCAGTTGAGAGAACGGGATTTTATTCCATAATTTTGTCCTGTCTACACATTATGACATTCAAATACCTTTTCTTTTATGACATGATGGTGGTAGTTGATGGTGATTTGCGGCAAAATAAATGTCTGTGACCCTGAATAAAAACAGAATAATGGCAATGCCTGACATTTATAACATGCTCTATCATTTATGTTCTACTTCTGTGTATATTATCTTATTTAATTTTTCCATTTGGTTTTTCAAAACCTCACTAAAAACAAGGTGGGAGGTGGTGCAAATTGCCCTGCATGAGGAGTCAGAAAACCCTGGGACTCGTGTGTCTGAGCTTTAAAGGTACAGACCTGAGTTTGAAGCCCAGCTGCTTCATTTGCTCTCTGTGCTGCTTTGGACAAGTTACCTGACATTTCTGGGCCTCGGTTTGCTCAGTTGTGGAAAGGTGATCACAATGTCTACTTTACTTCTAGAGTCACCGCGGGCATAGAGGTAATATACGTGGGTGTCAGGGTCTGCACCCCGCACATAGGAAGCGTTTCCTGGTTCTCGCTCATTATTGGCTTTTGGACGAGGTTAGAACTGCAGATGTAGGAGCTGAATCTTAGCTGGTCTCCTGGCGGGCTCTTGCTGTCACTTTCACAGTCTGAGTCCCCAGGGAGCCCTCCTGAGCTGGCCACAGAGACGGAGGAGTTTGGGAAACGGGCCTGCGTGGGCCCCAGTTCCCGTGCAGGTACGGGAGGTAAGGCCCTGTCTTCAGTGATCCTGGGGGGAGTCTTGAGGGGGTGTTCTGGAATCCTGCCCCCTCTGCCAGGCAGCCCAGCCTTCCTCCTGCAGCTGCACTGATGTGCTGGCAACTACTGGCTGCCTCTGGCTTGTGCTTGCCATTTGGAACGAGGCGTGAGGAAGCCTAGGGGGCCAGTGCATGGGGGGCCAGGGAGGGGGAGAGGAGAGACAGGTGCTCAGGTCGGGGTGCAGGAGATCTGGCCCCCCACCCCCCCCACCGACTTGCTGCACAGCCCCAGCCTCTGCCTATGGCTGGCCTCCAGCCTGTCTGTACGTGGAGCCCCTTCCCGCTCTGACGTTTCAGCTCTCTCTGATTTTCTGCGGCTGCCTCTGTCTCTGGGTCTCCTTTGCTGGCCGTCTTGCCGTCCTGCAGCGTTCACACTGCCCCCACAGCGCAGCCACATTTACAGAGCGCTTCCGGCACCCGAGGGCTTCCCTGGTGGCTCAGCTGGCAAAGAATCTGCCTGCAATGCAGGAGACCAGGGTTCGATCCCTGGGTCGGGAAGATCCCCTGTAGGAGGGAATGGCAACCCATTCCAGTATCCTTGCCAGGAAAATCCCATGGACAGAGGTGCCTGGTGGGCTACAGTCCATCAGGCCACAAAAATTCAGACATGACTAAGTGACTAAAACTTTCTGGCACTGATGTGGTGCTGGGTTCAAGGACTTGGCGAGCTTATTACCTGTTCATTGAACCTCACTCTTCTGTACAAAGTGAATGGCACCATTTTCTGCAAGCTCAAGCCAGACACCTGGGGGTCCTAGACTTCTCCTTCTCTGTCACCTTCCAAAGCCAGATTGTACCCCCAAGAGCACCTGTTCTGACCCCAGGAGAGTTAATGCCTCCACCTGCTCTGTTCCCCATCCCTTCTCCAGTTGACGCCACCATCGTCTCTCTCCTGGACAAATCCAGCCTCCCATGCTGGCCTCCCTTCCTCTTGTATTTCCCACTTTGCTTCTTCCTCCAGAGTGTCAGAGAGACCTTCAGAGTTGGCAGACTTGTCCTCACACCCCCCGATGCCCTTTCGTGATTCCTCTCCAGTAAGGGATGAGACTTTCCTCGGCATGACCTAGCTGCCCACCTTTTCCACATTGCTTTCCCCTTCCTTTCCACACTGACTTCTAAAAGGAGCTCCAAGCACAGTTTTCTCTTAAGCTAGATGGGAAGCTGGAGCAGTGCATCCAGCCCCCTGGAGGGGATGCTCGCAGATGCTAGCAAGAGATGCTAGGAAGGACTTAGGCTTCCAGAGTGATTCATTTGGGACCCAGCCCTCTTGGCCTCTGCCCTCTAGTCCATTCAAAGCTGTTTGGATCAGGGAGCCGGTCTACCCACTTCCTGCTGGGACGTACTGTCATCACAGAGGAGCCTGGGGGCACAGCCATTGGTTTGGTGGGTGTAGTAACTCTCCTTCCCCTGCCCATCAGGTCCCACTCCAGGGAGGAGCGTGACTCTCCCAGGAGACCCATGGTTGCATCACTCTCTCCATCCCCCTTCCCTTGCCGTCTCACCAGCTTCACAAGGTACCAGGCGCTCTACATGGATCTTCATGAACACCTGGATGCTGGGAAGGGCTGCAGTCTTCACAACTGTGTCACACTGAG